CCTCCTCCTTCTTCTTGGCTGGAACTTATGTAGCTCAGGCTGGCCTCACACCCAAGTCAATCTTCCTATCTTGGTCACCTAAGTGCTGATTAAGGCTTGGCCCATTTTTTCCATTGAAAGTTGATGGTCTTACATGCTTATAACTTGTTTGGGAACACCTGGTTAGCATAGTTCTTCCTATGGGATTCAAAACACATGTGACACCAGAGGAAAAATACAGAATTCAGTGTGTATGTGTGTGTGTGTGTGTGTGTGTGTGTGTGTGTGTGTGTGTGGCTTTCAAAGTAGAAACACAGTGCAGGCGGCCCTAAGGAAAAGATGTGGTAGACGTGATTGCCTAGCCTGTTTAACTAATTACAGTATGGGAAATGTACATTTCCAGTGCACTGCATGCATGGTGGTGGTGGTTATAGGCTTGTATCAGTGTGTGAGGTGATAGCTACCTTAGTGATGAGTGTGTAAGTATGGTCCATGATATTCACGCAATCGTGACAAAGTCACCTGATAGTGCATTCTTAGTATGTATCCCTGCTGAGTGACTCCTAACTGTGTAACTCAAGATAAGCAACAGTGAGGAAATCGTCAGTTTATATAAGCAGATGTTAATATCAGTGTGGAAAGAGTTTACAAAAAATTGGTTGATAGACGCTGAATTCTATTGGAGACTGCAGCTAAGTTATGGAAGAAAGTATATATGAAATACTGTTCAGTAGCAAAACAACATTGATGGTGACATCATGGTTGCCCTTTGACTTAGGAAATATTTCCAAAAAAATGGTAAATCTAAACATTGGGAGGTCAGTATAGAAATTCAGATGAAGGGAATGGATATAGAGGGATTAAATTATTTACCTGAAATCACGTGACTGCTTTTGGGACTTGAACTCAGTTTTGTGGTGCCATGAAACTGTCTCACGTCACAACCATGTACTGTGTGCAGTTATATCAATTGTGTTATGTATCTGTTTATGATAGCAACAACAAATACTCCTTTTGGATTGTGGTTTACCATTTTATTGAATGGATGTATTTTATTTAGCATACCCTCTGTTTTGCCAGTTTTTTTTTCTTCTGGCTGTTATAGTACTGCATACTACAGTGCACTTTTTTGTGCATGTCTTTGCATACATGTAAAATGCTCTTCTGGTGGTGAATTACTAGACAGTTAATGGTTGTATAATAGGCTCTACACATTGAACATTTTGATAGATAAGCTGAAGCTGCCCTTTACAATTGTTCTTCAACTCCCCATGCCACCAGTGCGGAACCTACCCTCGACTTCAATATTAGCCACATTTGAATGGTTTGTAATCCATTTTTTACAGATGGATTTAGTGACATTTGATCTTTCTTTAAAAATACTGAGTCTTCCTATGTCAGGATGCCTCAGTGTGTCTGCTTGTGTGTATGGAGAGGTCTTCACACATGTAGTTCAGGATTAAGGCTGGTGCTCTGTGGTTAAAGAATTCTGAATGAGATCTTTTCATTCAGCAAGTGCCCCTGTTAGTTTTTGTCTGTTTAGTAGCTACCATCTTACCGGATTCCTTATTGCTTTTTGTTGCTTAACTTTCCTCAGGCATTCTATAATTATAGTACATAATATGATAACATTCTGAAATATAATTATAGGATATATTATATAATAATCACTCACAAATTATCTTTGTAGGGCTTGGAGGGATACCTCAGAGCTTCAGAGCACTCTCCTAGAGGACTTAGGTTTGGTTTCCAGCACCTACATGGCTGCTCACAACCCTCTGTAACTCCAGTTCCATGGGATTCGATGCCCTCCTCTGATGTCTGCAAGCATGTCTATACATGCGGGCAAAACACTTGTATACATTTAAAGCCGGGCGTGGTGGCGCACGCCTTTAATCCCAGCACTCGGGAGGCAGAGGCAGGCGGATCTTTGTGAGTTCGAGGCCAGCCTGGGCTACCAAGTGAGCTCCAGG